AGTAAGGGCCGAAACGTCTAAATCCCGGTAAAAAATTTTTCATGTATAAAATTGTATGGACATATTCGGTATACATATATATATATATATATATATATATATAAATTTGCGTAATTAGATATAATAATTTTAATTTGTGTATAAGTATATATGATTACATATCAAAAATTTTTTAAAACATATAGTAAAAATATAGTTTTATATAATTTTTTGTATCTAACATGATACTGATAGAGTTATTTTGTAATTTGATGTGGAATATCTTTGAAGCCATTCTCTTAAAAAAAGAAATTCTCCGCGTATAAAATTTTATGGACATATTCGACATATAAATTGCATTATTAGATATAATTATTATAATTGTATAAGTATATATATATATTATATATACTTATATATATTATAATTGTATAATTGTATAAGTATATATGAAAAATTTTTTACCGGGGAAGAGACGCAAAGTTTTCTTCAAATTAGAAAATATTGTTATAGACTACATTAAATATAATGATATAATATATAATACAATTTTATAATATTTATATATATAATTGTATTATTATATATTGTATATAAGTATATTATATATACTTATATATATTAAAATTGTATAATTGTATAAGTATATATGAAAAATTTTTTACCGGGGAAGAGACGCAAAGTTTTCTTCAAATTAATTTCTCAAATTGAGTGAGCAATATATCGTGAGGATATATTCAAGCGTTTTTATCTAAATGTTCGACAAAATTTTACTTTAGACAGATATTTGCTAATGTAAAATAACATTGATAGCTGCTATTGCTTGACTCAATATTATCGTCTCGAGCTAAATTTTTAATACAGGTCGAAAACCGATAAACACGCGACGATGACGCGTGTTTGAGGTGAAAATTACGTTTACACGCCAAACAAACGTAGGCGATTGTAATAACAAAGATGACACAATATTACACAATCGATCGTCAAGCAGCTGACGCGATATACATAGCGTGAAGAGCATCGAGATTGCAGCTTTGGAAATATTACATTATTTTCCGTTAAAAATAATCTCGAGCGTAAAACAAAAAGAGAAAAAGAGGGTTTTTTTTTTTTTTTTTTTTTTTTTTTTTTTTTTTTTCATAAAAAATTTATTAATGTGAAAAATATAAAAAAAAGAGAAAAAAGGGGGTTTTTTTTTTTTTTTTTTTTTTTATTTCCAANNNAAAGTAAAAAGAGAAAAATATTCGCTCGCACTTAGTGATGTGGGATTTTTAATTTGAGAGAGATCGCAAAACGGTGACAATTAAAAGATGTGTTTTCTAATTTCTAAGAAGAAATCGTGCGCCGGTGTCGCGTGAGCTCTGTGCGCGACATCATCGCGTGTTTCCTCAATTATTGCAAAAGCTTCTTACAAGGGTGTTCCGGCGTTATACTCGTCGTGTGTTTATTATTAATTCCCGTTCCCATTTCTTGCGTTCGTGTGTTGTTGTGTCTCAATTTAATCACTCGCAATTTGCGCGTCGTGCTTTAACACGCGTGCGCCTATATTCTCAAAATGGGCGGCACGTATGTTTTTTACTTTCCTAAAAATAATTAACACCATGTTGTACTCTCTTTGCTCCGATTTTATGAATATAAAGAAATGCGCGCGCTATGCTTTTTCTTTTTTTCTCTCAGGCGTGTTACAACATTAGTATTTCGTTTATTTTCAGACACGGTTTGCCATCCGTACGAACCGTTTAGATGTCCGGGCGACGGTTTTTGCATCTCGATACAGTATCTGTGCGACGGCGCGCCCGATTGTCAGGACGGATACGACGAGGACTCAAGATTGTGTACCGCAGGTACAAGCGATACGATATTAACCCTATTTGCACTCCGCTGTCCCCTCTCAGGGGACATCGTAATTCCAGCATATCACTCGGACGTCCCCCCTCTCAGGGGACATTCAAGTTTATTAGTGATTACGGGGAATTGAGTTGTTTCAGCGCAACTTTTTGAGACACGCATGTTTCAATGCATGCATGTGCAATATCATTATAATTACGTTACTTAGTTCCAAAATTATAATAAATAATACGAGGATCTGTAAACGTTCGTTTCTGCCGTAAAGTGGCGCTGAGTAGCCGATAGCCAACGTCCAGAATCGCGTTCGGAGTGCAAAGGGTCAATTCATTTTTATTTAAGTGGTTATTGATTGCGTGCGTGACAACAAGTACGAGACTTGATTCTTTGAAGGACGCTCTGACATATTGTTGAACATTTATTTATCTCATTTAACAATTTGATCAAGCCACACCATTATTTTGAACATTTTTATATCAATTAACATGTGATAAGATACACCATTTGTTTTTTAGATTCAATTGATAAGGGCTTGAAATAAAGTCTCGAAACGTTTTGAGAAAAAAAATTATTTAACAATTATTTAAGTTTTAATTATTGCACTGTATCCTGCACTGGCTCTACACGGCCGAATTAGAATTTAAACATTAAACAGTCATTTTTATTTATCGTAAAACATTTTCAATATGCGCAATTGTTTATAAAACCGAATTAAACTTGAAAAAAAAAAAAAAAACGACTCTTTCATAGTTTAAAAAGTACAATTTGGCACGTTCGATATATATAGAATTTATTATTTGCGCTATTCGATATAAATTTTAATTGAAAAATAGATTGCATATTAAGTTGTACGGAGAAATGATCGCATTATTATATTTGGTGTGCGTGCACTCGACTCGTATTCCGTACAGTTGCACCAGGAGCGATTACACTAGGAGAGAGAAGAAATTACCGTTGTACTTGTTCGGTGCATTCATACCGACGGCTATATCGTCGGGCGCGTTCTATATAATCACACACCGACATTTAATTAATTAAAACGTAATAGCCTCTTTTGTTTAAAAACCAAAGAGAGAAAATTTTCGTTTTATATAACGTTAAGTGATGGGTTTTTAGATAGAAGGCTCCGACAAAAGGCTCAGAAATTTTCAAAATAAGTCGTTAACCCATTTGCATCACAAAGAAAAGTCAAAAATTCGTTCTTATCACCAAAATTTTTTTTTTTACTGTATTTAAATTTTAATGAAAATGTTACAAAATATGAAAAATAAAATCAATATTGCATAAATAAAGAATAAACGGAATGGAATCTAATTATTAGATGCCATCGCGATCATGCCAGATGATCTAATTATTATCCGCTGGACAGGCCTGTTATAAATAATATGCGCTTTGGTGATAAATGCGCTTATGATGCAAATGGGTTAAAAGAGCCAATGTGAGCCCCTTAGGCACTGCTGATGGTGTGCAAGAAAGTAATTCCAAAAAAAAAATTGATTTTCGATTCCTTTGTTGAATCCTCTTCAGAAAATTATAAATACATGACCTGCAGTTAGCAAAAAAAAGGACATCAGTATGCAAATCTACTTAAAAACAAAATATAAAAGTCAAGAAACTTACACGTGTCACAAAAACCGAATCGCTGCATTACCACCAAGATAGAGAATTACACAATTGAAGAAGAAAAACATGTTAAAAACATGATTTTCATGTATTTGTATTTTTTGAAGAGGATTCAATCAAAGGAATCGACACAATTTTTTTTTAATCAATTTTTTTTGGAATTACTTTTTTGCACACCATCAGCAGTGCCTAAGGCTCGTATTGGCTCTTTTAACCCCTTGGGTACATTTGACGTCTGAGACACGTCATTCACTTTTTTCATTTAGTTTTATTTTGTTGTTATTAATTTATATTTTTGTTTTGCAATTCTAATTACTTGAAGACATCTTAATACCACATATGTCACCAATATTTTAGAAATAAATAAATTCTTAACGTAAAATTTACTGCTTTTACATACTCTACTCCAAGCAACCAAAAATTATATCCGTTCCACATGCAAATATTTTCTCAAATAAATCCGTACCCAAGGGGTTAACGTGACTTATTTTGATGGGTTTTTGTTTGAAAATCTATGTATCAAAATTTAAGCTCTTTTACGTTTATTTAATCTTAAACAATTAAAGAGTCTTTTAAGGCTCCGAAGTTTCCAAACTAATAAAAATCATCTCATGACCGAATATATATATTTATTAGTTTATTTAATCTTAATTATATCGATCTATCTTCTTGCACGTTCTTTGTATTCGTATTCTTTGTATTTTTGTTGCGATTTGATAGAATTTGAATGTTTTTGTCGTTACAGCCAAACGACCACCGGTTGAGGAAACCGCGAGTTTTCTGCAGTCTCTGCTGGCCAGTCACGGTCCCAATTATTTGGAGAAACTGTTCGGAACCAAGGCGCGCGACACGCTGAAACCTCTCGGTGGTGTGGAAAAAGTGGCGATCGCATTGTCCGGTAAATAAGTTCATAATAAATTTTTTTTTTTTTTTGCAATGTTTTGCGCAATCACATAATTTCAAAGATCTATTTTATCTCAAAAGAGACTTACGCGATCTGATTTTTTTTCGCGATTCTTCTTTTCTGTCTTCCGAAATTGAACAGAATCGCAGACAATCGAGGATTTTGGGGCGGCGTTGCATCTGATGCGAGCGGATCTCGAGCATCTGCGTTCGGTCTTCATGGCGGTTGAGAATGGCGATCTGGGCATGTTGAAATCCATCGGCATCAAGGATTCGGAACTCGGGGACGTCAAGTTCTTTCTTGAGAAACTTGTGAAGACGGGTTTTCTCGATTGAACGACGACGTTAATCGCCGCCGAATCGACGCCGCTACTGTCGCCGATGACAGGTCGTCGCTGGATCATCGTCGCCGGTGCCGCCGCGTCGTCGTCGCAACAACAGATCCTTGGTTTGATGAAGCCTAAGTCATCCTTCCCGCTGACACTTCCTTTCCCCGGTCGCGAGTCTTTGCGCGCAAATTTTTTCGTTTTTTTTATTATTCCGCTCTTGCTTTCAACGCGCTCGCTCTTCGATGCGCGAGCACCGAGACGATCATCAAATCTCGCACAGAACGTGACGTGAATCTTTTTCGAATCCTCTGCTTGACGAGCGATCAGGTAGTTGGCATCGTTCGTAGCTTTACACAGCTCGGAATAATTAATTTTATTAATTATTTCATTATACGCACATACATACATATATATATACATGTATATTCAAGGTTGGGTAGTGTATAGTTAAAAAGATAAAAGTTAAGTTAAAAAGTTAAAAAGTTAAATAATTTTAACTTTATCTAGTTACATTTTTAGACTCTTATCTTTTAACTTTATTTAGTTATATTTTATCGGTAACTAGTAACTTTTTATTTCAACTCTCTTGAATCTACTATAGCC